AAAATATCGCGTAAAGCGGTTTTCTTGTGAAATGTCTTCGTACATTTTCTATTTTTGAACGGCTGGATTCATGCATCACACAGAAAATGGGCAACAGTATTCTAGAATGGGAAGCACAGACATATCATAAAGCCTTAATTTCATTTCAGAAAGGTATAGATTATATGAAATAAAGCCGTCAATCTGTGCAACGTTGGCTGTAATTCTATCGGCGTGAGGCGAAATGCTAATTTATTGGTGTATCTTAAACCTAAGTCCTTGATGTCGGAACATTCAGTCTTTGGGTAACCTCGAAAAATAACAGGCCGTGGCAGCCTTTCAGGCCCAAAGCACATTTAGCGACACCTAGAAGGTGAGAACTCCATGTGCCATATTGGAGGAAGTATGTAATGGAGTTCCAGAATTCAAAACAAAGAACCGTATATGGAAGAAACTGGAGGTTCCTGTGAGGGATATATACGTGAGTTGATATGGCACACCCTGCCAAGTTCCTTTGTCGGCCCAATAAGTATTATTTTCCCTGGAATTCGCTTATATGAAAAATAAGGCGTATTTGTGTCGGATATTCACCTTTGAAAGTACGCGCTGTTGGAGTAAGTGCGTCCTGAAACAATCCTCTTTCCATAGATTTAACACTTTTTGCCGATTCTACATGATTATCATAATAAACTTTGCGTAACCATGTCAGAATATTATAAACTCTCGCACTCACCCTTTAGATTTTATAATATTCTGACATGGTTACGCAAAGTGTATCATGACAATCATGTAGAATCGGCAAAAAGTGTTAAATCTATGGAAAGAGGATTGTTTCAGGACGCACTCACTCCGACAGTGCGTGCTTTTAAAGGTGAATATCGACACACCTAGCGTTATCCCAGTATCTGCTCGATGAACTTCTGCAGGTCACTAATGAAGCTTAGCAACACAATTCTTTGGACACCGAGAGCACTCAGTCGATATGGGAGCATCCAAGCACTCGGTCTACATCTCCCCGAGCATAGTGCCAGCGCGTACGGAACAAAATACTTTTTTCTTAAAAGACGCTTCATGCTCAATTATGGCAGTTGTGAAGTTTTTAACATCAGTGAACATTGAAAATGAGAATATAACGCGAAAAAATGCGTAATGAAACTGAAAATGTTATTCCATAGTAGGGAAAATAATCTAGTGATCTACAACAACCAGAAAGTGTAACACACTCCAATAATTCATTGGACGGCAACATTTCAAATAGAGATAGAGTTGGTTCAACAAATGGAGGCTCAATCTGCAGTCTATCCCGTGTACCCTGTTCGCGTATAATGTAACAATCTGGAACGCCATCCAAAATTCTGTCCAGAAATCGGAATTCCAATATAATTTTCATCGGTTGGACGGATTGGTCCGCAGATGGCTCCTGCCCTGCTGCGTCTGAGAAATCGACATCAGGCCTCCGCTGCGTGGCCGTAACAGGTGAACTAAATGCGCCTCTGAGAAGCAGAAATATAGAACGATCTCGGTGTGTAGATGACATCCAACCTAAATCCTTGTTCATAAATCGATGATGTGGTTAAACCCGTCACCGCAGTGTCATATGACAGCAAGTATACTTTTATATTTTTTCACTGAGGCTACTATTATAAATTCTTCGGTAAGTTTTTAAGGCCACATTTAGGATACAAGATTCAGGCCTAAGGAACCTAAATGCAGCAGGATTACAACCTACTCGAGCGTGTGCAGTGACGAGTCACAAACTTAGTACGGGTCCGAGGTGTACTGCCATATGAGATACTCATTAATAACCTAACTCTCTATCCTATGATTTCTAAGTATTTGCGCGTGCACTTCAGTCAGTCAGTCAGTGTATTTGAGGGAAAACTTGGCTTGCGCCTTTGAACTCCCTATTTGTCACATCAAAACCTCAAGAATTATAAACAATGTTTACAAGTTTTCAGTCAGGAAAATATAGACCGTGACATGGTGCAGTGTTGTTTCAAGGTGAATTTGTCCCATAGATATAAACTGTTCATGTAATGCGTGATTCGAACTGCGCCCTCCCATGTTATAACATTTTTTGACTCCCACTGAGACTCATCTCCGGGGACATCTCTTAAAACTACGTGTGCTACGAGGAAGTTTGGACGTAAGGTAATATTGTTCTCCAGCTGTGTCGTGGAACGCTGGAATAGGTTACCCGAGGCTATTTTAATGTCTCAGTCTGTGGAGAAATTTAAACCTTGGCTTGACAGACACGGCACCAGGAAGAGAAGTAAAGTGCTGGAACAACATATACACGAATTGAGATCGGCGGTCAGTTGTGATAGTAGCAGAAACAAAAAATCGAATACCCAGTGCGTCAGAGCAGCCTTCACCACAGTTCTATCACTAATGTCCGGAATGGGTATAACAACCATCCATACAAGTCAGCAGATACGTAGAGTCGTCAGAAGTTGGCAGAGGACCTTCCAAGTGCAGGTTACTGCGACTGAAATGCATGTCAGTTATGGCGAGGGTGCCTACTGGCAAACTCTTTGGCAATGAGTTTCGGATCGCTGACATGAGAAATAATGTCGGGTCCAACATCTAGTTGGTATTGGGTCAGA